GGAGACCTCCACAACCGATGCACTTGGGGAGAGCTGAAGAGCTTCCTTTTTGTTTCCCTTCCTTTGTGGGGTGGAGACGGTCCACTTCCTCGTCAGGATCCTCCTCAGAGTTCCTTTGGACTTCTTCCTGGTGCACGGACGCAGCATCTGGACTGTTTCTGATCGGCCGCATGTTCTTGATGGCGCCGCCCGCTGCTTCTTTTGCGGTGACCTCCCTCAAGGCATCTTTGAATGACAAGTCCTCCTTGGCAAAAAGTCTCTGTTGTAACTCTCTATGCCTTAGACCGCACACAAATCTGTCCCTCAGTCGTTCTTTGAGGTCTTTGAACTCGTAATGTTTGGCGGCTTTCTTCAACGTGGCGATGTACTCCTTGGCCGATTCTCCGGGTCGTTGATCCCTCTGCTCGAAGATGTGGCGCCACGCGATGATGGACATCTTGGGCTGGAAGTGCTCCTTCAGTAGTTTTTTTAGATCTGCGTAGCTGACAGACTCTAGAGGGACAGGGGTTGCAAGGTTCTCAGCAATTTCGAATGTGTCTTGACCGCAAACGCACAGCAGGGTGGCAGCCTTTAAACTATCTTCCCATACTTGATTTACCTTGAGATAGTTTTCCACCCTGGCTACATAGGACTCCCACCTCTCTGGATGTGAGACGTCGAATTCCGAAAGCCTTCCAATTTTTGCCATTTTGTAGAAGGAAGGGTCTATCTGCCAGCCTACCCCCGAATGCACGCTGGATTGGCGGGTAGCTGCCGAGTCAACGCCGTTCCTGCCGCTCAGGACTCACATGGGTAAGCTTACACCTTTTCGATTGATGTAAGGCATCCCATCCTCGTCGCCAGTGTTGCATCCTTCGCGAAATGGCAAGACACGAGAAGCAGTTGTAGTTCTCAAGACTTCTTTATTCTTAGTTCAGCTTACAGTTGGAAGACGCCGGCAACGCCCAAAACTCTTGGCCTCTTATATAGGCCATTCCCGGGTCAATCTGCAACTTTTGGCGCACCAGCACTTGCACATGCGCACAAGTACTGGCGACAGCCTGTCTGGTCCCGGGCAACTTGCACCTGTCCGGGACCGTTTGCAATGCCCCGAGCCTGCTTGCACAGGCTCAGGACATAACAATACCATTAGGTATTTTTGCAGCTGGGGGCTTTATTTAACGACCTTATGGCTGCAGCGGTAGTAGAAAAGGGAAAACGCTGCTGAGATTTATGCAGGCTGTTTTAACTTCTTGTCACTCTGCCCTTTGCATAATATAACAGAGTAGCAGAGTTGGAAGGGACCTTGGAGGTCTTCCAGTCCAACCCTTTGCTTAAGCAGGAGACCCTATACCAGTGATGGCGAATCTTTTAGAGACCGAGTGCCCAAACTGCAACCCAAAACCCACTTATGCATCGTCAGGTGTCTGGTGGGTGTGGGCCATTGGCTGGGTGTGGCCCATTGGCTGGGCGTGGTCCATTGGCTGGGCGTGGCTGTGGTGGTAACAGCAGACTGGGTGGGACTAAAAAGTTCAATCAATCAGTTCCAACTTTGCAAGATCTTTTTTTTTCCGCGAGAAGTTGAAATTGACTCATTGATTTAACCTTTTTTTTTTCACACGGCAGCGGAGGCCTAAAGCGAAAAGGTTTTATAAAACCCAGCTGAAGGCCTAGGACTGGGGCAATGGCGCACGTGCCCACAGAGAGGGCTCTGAGTGCCGCCTCTGGCACCCATGCCATAGGTTTACCACCACTGCCTATACCATTTCAGACAAATGGTTGTCTGGTCTCTCCTTAAAAACCTCCAGTGATGGAGCATCCACAACTTCTGGAGGCAAGCTGTTCCACTGGTTAATTGTCCTCACTGTGAGGAAGTTTCTCCTTAATTCCAGGTTGCTTCTCTCTTTGATCAGTTTCCATCCATTGCTTCGTGTCCTGCCTTCAGATGCTTTGGAGAATAGGTTGACCCCCTCTTCTTTGTGGCAGCCCCTCAAATTGTCTCAAATTACCTTGTCTTACAAGGTAATGCTGAAGGAATATTTTCTGAGTTTTGCTTCTCTGTTACGGGGACCCGCCATCTTGAAAAGTGCAAAAATGTTGCACGATTTTTGTTTTGTTCTTTATCTGCTGCAACTGCCCTGAAATAAACATAGGTAGTCTTCAACTTACAACTATTTGTTTAGTAACAATTCAAAGTTACAACAGCACTGAAAAAAAGCGTCTGACAATCAGTCTTTACACTTGCAACTGTCACCGCATTCGCACGGTCACATGATCAAAATTCGGGTGCTTGGCAACTAGCATGCATTTATGACGGTTGCAGTGTCCCCGGGTTACATGATCGCTATTTGCAACCTTCCCAACAGGCTTCCGAGAAGCAAAGTCAATGGAGCAAGCAGAATCTGCTTAAATGTGTAATTCATTTAATTGAAATGATTTGCTTAAGAACATGGCAAAAAAGTTCTTAAAATGGGTTGTGAGTCAACAACTGCCCTGCTTATCAAAATAAATTCTGGTTCAAATTGTAAGTTGAGGACTATCTGTACTCCAGAAATAATTCAAAGCTGAATTTCTGTGGGAGTGAGACAAGAATGATGGTTTTAAGTTTGAGAGCTAGAAGTCAAAACAAGAGTTTGGTCCATGATGAAACTGAACTGACACAAAATCAGCATTTTTGAGTGTTGCAAAAGAAAGCAGCATTTTATTCAGCTGGAAAGAAACTGATAGGAGGGGAACTCAGGGGTCTGGAGCTGTTTTGAAGTAGTGCCGAGTTCACCCATTGCAGCTGATCCAAATTTACCCAATAAATCCTCATCGTTGAGGGCAGACTAGGGAACTCATCAAATTTGCAGATGACACTAAACTGGCAGGAATAGCCACCACCCCAGAAGACAAGCTCAGGATCCAAAAAGATCTTAACAAACTTGAACAATGGGCCCTATCCAACAAAATGAATTTTAATGTGCAGAAAAGCAAAGCTTTACATCTAGGCAGGAAAAATCAAAGATATAAGCACAGATTAGGTGAGACTTGACTCAAAAACAATAACTGTGAGAGGGACCTTGGAGTCCTAGTGTACGATCACTTAACCATGAGCCAGCGGTGTGCAGCAGCCGCTAAAAAAGCTAATATAATCCTGGACTGTATAAACAGAGGCATAGAATCAAGATCACGTGAATATTAGTACCGCTTTATAAAACCCTAGTAAGAACACACCTGGAATACTGCAACCAATTTTGGTCACCATAGTACAAAAAAGATGTTGAGAGTTTGGAAAAAGTTCAGAGAAGAGCAACTAAGATGATCCAAGTCCTGGAGACTAAAACATATGAAGAACGGCTGCAGGACTTGGGTTTGGCTGGTCTAAACAAAAGAAGAAATAGGGGTGACATGACAGCAGTATTCCAGTATTTGATGGGCTGCCACAAAGAAGAGGGGGTCAAATTATTCTCCAAAGCACCAGAGGGCAAGACAAGAAACAATGGTTGGAAACTGATCAAAGAGAGAAGCAACCTGGAATTAAGGAAAAACAATTAATCAGTGGAACAGCTTGCCTCCAGAAATCGTGGGCGCTCCATCATTGGAGATTTTTAAGAAGAGGCTAGAGTCTAGACAGTCACTTGTCTGAGATGGTATAAGTTCTCCTGCTTGAGCAGAGAGCTGGATTAGAAGACCTCCAAGGTCCCTTCCAGCTCTATTCAATTCTATTCCCCAGGCCTAGTGCAACATTTTCAACTTATGACCACAGCAGAGCAACTGCAGTTACTTTCAAAATGATGCCCACTTCCATGATGGCACCACAGTCTCTGTATAGGAAGGCTACAAGGTGAATGGGTTGATTCTCTTTCTCAGAGGTGATCTTTGGAAAAGGTAAGTGAAGCAAAGCATGATGGGGAGGAGGGGAGCTAAAATATGGGCCCCAGTTGGGCAAGAAGCAGGCCCAACACCCAGTGGGGTGGGGGGGGGGGAGAAATTAGGTGGATGTGGACAGTTGCACCATCGCTTCAGTTGGTTGTAAGGATGGGTAGGGTTGCCAAGCAGCTGAAGTTTGTTTCTGTGTGGACCTGAACATTTCGTTCAGTGCTATTGTAATTTTAAATAGTAGTTGAACAAATGGTTATAAGTCAAAGACTGTAACCATTATATTGCACCACTCATTGATCAGAATTTTACTTGAGGCAGAAAAATGATTCCCTCCCCCTTCATTAATTTTCATTTTTTCTGGTTGGATAATGTTTTTGATGTGAAAGATAATCAGAAAGTCATTCATGTTTCTGTATAAACTGATTTGTATTATTTGTATTTATTTGTGTTCATTTTTAAACGAAGGACTTCCTTTGCTGTCCTATCACAAGTCTGTGGAATCCTTTGCATCTTTCTGCAATGGCAGAAAGTCAACATGGAACTCTTTAGACAAACTGGTCGTTAAGTCAAGGACTACGTGTAAGGTCAATCATCCTTGGTTAAAATGCAAAGCTGCAACAGGAAACGTAATGTCACAAACAAAGGACATTTTGCACAGCTCTTTAAAGACTAACGTTTATTGTAGCAACTATTTGTGGGAATTTGTATTCCCCAACTAGGGGGATAAAGTTTGGAAGAAAATCTTCTGTCTTTTACAGCTTGGTGTGCAGTCTGCATTCTGAGCATAATGGTTTGAGAATACACACCAAGCCTTTAAAGCACAACACGGAGTAATAGGCACGTAGAACCATATATTAGTTAAACAGGGTTGGGATAAACCAGGGGTCTTCAAACTTGGCCCTTTTATGACTTGTGGACTTCAACTCCCAGAATTCCTCAGCCAGTGTGCCTGACTGAGGAATTTTGGGAGTTGAAGTTCACAAGTCATAAAAGGGCCAAGTTTGAAGACCCCTGGAATAAACTCTCGGGCCCTTTAAGACATAAAGCGTCGGCCCGATCCGGCTGGGAACTCCTGTTACGCGCCCGATCCGCTAGGAGGCGAATCCATCCCTAAACTGAGCCAGCTCGAGGTCCGCAGCCAACGCAAGGCGTTCGCTTTGACTCTTTTGGCCCCGTGCGGCGCCCGTCGTCGTCTGCCTGAACAGTACCCGCGAAAAGCCGAAATTGGGCTAGAGCGCCTTCGCGCTCTCTCGGCCTTCCTTCGCTCCCAACAAAAGCCAGATTTCTGCCAGAGATTTGCGGCCGCGTAAGTGAGACGGGCTCGGCCAGGCCTGGTCCCGTTACCGGCGGAAGGGGTAGAGGCTCGGCAGGCCTTTCCTTTTTCCCCGTCTTGGCGGAGCGCTCCAGATCGAGACCCGCGCGGGGAAAGCAGGGCTTGGCAGCCCGCCTCGGCTGGTTTCGGGGAAATGTGGAGGCACCGGCTTGATTTCCCCCATTTCCCCTCTGTCTCCCGGGCCAGCAGCATGTGTTCCACTCCCGAGAGAAAGCTCTCGAAGGGAGACCCCAGGATTTATAATCATCCCGGTTTATTGTTTTATTCTAAGGAGGAACTCTGGAAGTGAGCCCGCTGGATTTATAATAATCGCTATACGGCATTATAATATTTATTGTTTTATCTCAAAGGGATAAAGTGAGCCCGCTGATTTATAACAATTCCTGTTACAGGTAGTCCTCGACTTAAGATCATAACTGAGCCCAAAATTTCAGTTGCTCTGTGAGACGTTTGTTAAGTGAGTTTTGCCCCGTGTTACGACCTTTCTCGACACCGTTATTAAGGGAATCACTGCAGCCGTTAAGTAAGTAAAACGGCTGTTAAGTGAATCTGACTTCTCCATTGGCTTTGCTTGTCAGAAGGTTGCAGAAGGGGATCACCTAACCCCAGGATGCTGTGACCGCCATAAATATGAGTCAGTTGCTAAGCGGCTGATTTTGACCACAGGACCATGCAGTGGTCGGTTTTTAAGTGTGAAAACAGTCATAAGTCACTTTTTTCAATGCCATTGTAACTCCACTAAATGAACTGTTGTAAATCGAGGATTACCTGTACAAGGATATTATATTGTTACAGCTGTCAGAGTGTATTAGTGTTTTATCAGGAGGGAGAGTGGGATTGCTGGATTTATAATCATTGCTGTTGTTGTTATTGCGATTATTACCTCCTTCAGATTATCTGAGATGCTGGTAATGGCCTGAATGTGCAACAGTGGTAAACAGAGGAATCTGTATGCTCAAGGCCACATTTCAGAAAATCGCTGCATTGGAACAAAAGTCCATCTAATCCAGCGCTCTGTATCTTGCAACGGTCAGCCAGATGCCTTCTGGAGGCTCACCAGCAGGACATGAGACCCATCCATCTGTCCCTCTGTCGCCAACCCCCAGCAACAGGTATTGAACGGCATGCTTTGGGCAATGAGCAATTAGCTTCCTCCTGCACTAACCTGTTAGATATTTCTTTAGAAGCAGTGCTTTTTTTATTAAAAAAAAAAAGTGCTGGAACTCACACATGTCATACAACCTGCCTTGCCTACCTTACAAGGTTCCATCCAAAAAAGGTGCCGGAACTCTGTTCTGGCCGTTCTATGAGGAAAAAAACCCTGTTTGGAAGTATCTTGTGCCTAATTCTGTGCCTATTTACATGGAAATAAACTGACTTTAGGGGACCAACTTCAGAGTCACCATTGTGTTACTGACGGTCTGAACTAATGACCTATTTAAAAAGGGATGTCGTACTCTGCTGTTTGTTTTCTTGAGAGCTCAACACATGATGACTGAATTAAAAAAAACCCGAATGAATTGTTCATTTGAATTTTTGCATCAGGTTTTTAATAAAATGGCTTGCAATTGTAAATGCAACATTCAGTGATGCATTATGTCATACCTTTGATGCAGGCGGTCCTTGAGTTACGATTGTAATGGAGCCCGTCCATCATGATCGTAGCTTGTGAGGGTCATAAAACCGGTCGGTCACATGACCAACTTGATTTTAAGAGCTTTTTTGTGGTGGTCATTAAACTAACCCATGGTTTGCTGTGGTTGTGGTTTGCTAAAAATCAGAAGGAAATGTTGGGGGGAGGCGAGGCAACAGTCAAAACTTCAAATCCGGGTCATAAGTACCCCCAGATTCTTAAGATGATATGAATCCTATTAAATTTCTGTAGAATTGTAAAGACCTGGTTTCTGTGTGTTGGATCAGAACAGTAGATGAACCTGTTTTTCCGCGTGAGTGTATGGTATGTTGTTATTGCCAGCCTTGATTATGCACAAGTGCTGTTTTTGTCAGCTTATTATCCTTCACTATATTATTTATTTTCCTTTTAATATTCTTTTCTGATTCTTATTGCTATTCACGAGTCAAAGTCATAAATTATGAGAGGAGCAATTTTGCAAAGCTTTTTAGTCAGTCTGCCTAAATTATTTGTAATGCTGCTGGCCTCTCTGGAGAAGTCAGTAGCACTGTGTCTAGCAGTGTGCAATTACTTTGCATGAAACCTCCAGTGTGGCATGCTTTAAGGAGTCTCCTTTCCTCCTTTTTGCTTTTTCCTCAATGACCAGAAAGATGTGTTCCCTAGCACTCTTTCCACCTCCACCTCCTCCAGGAGACATCACCCTTTATGAATTCAACAATGCCCTGGTTTTTGGCCATAGCTATGAGAAGCTTCCACTTACTTTCCAAAGTCAGGTAAGTCATAGTTTCCGACCATAGAAAGAAATCAGCTACCATCCTGTCTTAATAATAGGAAGCCTTCCAAAAATGTAATGGTCAGATGGATACTTAACTTGATTCTTTAGGATGAGTACAATAAAATAAGGGAGGGAAACAAGCTGAACTTTTCTTTCATCTACCTGAAAGGATTAGTTTATCACTAATTCTTTCAGGCAGATGAAATCCACTAGAGTCTGCCGTTAGTGGATCAATACTTCAGCTCCTTGTTGGATTGACTTAAATATTTCTAGCCGGGCTATCAGATCTGAATTGCAAAAATCCAGACATCCACTAAATGGCAGCAGTATAATGGAGAAAGGTCTTTGCTGCCTTCTAAGGGATTGCCTGGATTCTTGCTGCTCACCTCTGGTAGCCTTTATCTACAGTGATTTGAAAAAAATAATATAGGAATTAGCCTCAAAATATAAATGCAAATTAGGAAGGGCAGAAGAATTGCTTAAAAGCAGTACAGATAGTTCTCGACTTAACAACCATTCATACCTTGCTCAATAGTAGCAACTGTGAGGGATCTCGGAGTCCTAATGGACAATCACTTGGATATGAGCCAGCGGTGTGCTGCAGCTGCCAAAAAAGCCAACACAATGTTAGGCTGCATTAACAGAAGGATAGACTCAAGATCATGTGAAGTATTAATACCACTTTACAATGCCTTGGTAAGGCCACATTTGCAACACTGCATCTAGTTTTGGTCACCACGATGTAAAAAAGATGTTGAGACTCTAGAAAGAGTACAGAGAAGAGCAACAAAGATGATTAGGGGACTGGAGGTTAAAACATATAAGGAACGGTTGGTGGAATTGGGTATATCTAGTTTAATGAAGAGAAGGACGAGGGGGAACATGATAGCAGCGTTCCAATATCTCGGGCTGCTACCAAGAAGAGGGAGTCAAGCTATTTTCCAAAGCTGGGCAGGACAAGAAGCAATGGATGGAAACTAATCCAGGAGAGAAGCAACCTAGAACTAAGGAGAAACTTCCTGACAGTGAGAACAATTAACCAGTGGAACAACCTGCCTCCAGAAGCGGTGAATGCTCCAACACTGGAAGTTTTTAAGAAGAGATTGGACAGCCATTTGTCTGAAATGGTATAGGGTTTCCTGTCTGAGCAGGGGGTTGGACTAGATGACCTCCAAGGTCCCTTCCAATTTTATTATTATTATATTATTATTATTTAGTGACTGTTCAAAGTTACAACAGGACTGAAAAAAGCAACATGACTGTTTTTTACATTTACAGCCTTTGCAGTGTTCCCACGGTCACACGATCAAAATCCAGGAACTTGGCAACTGGCATGTATTTATGACAGCTGCACTGTCCTGGGATCATATGATTGCCATTTGTTATCTTCCCAACAGGCTTCTGACAAGTAAAATCAGTGGGGAGGAAAGCCAGATCCATTTAATGGCCACGTGATTCACTTAACAACTGTAGTGATTTGCTTAACATCTGTGACAAAAAGATCATGAAATGAGACACAACTGGCTTGACAACTGCCTTACTTAGCAAAGGAAATGTTGGGTTCAGTTGCGGTTGTAAGTCGTGAACTACCTGTGTGTGATTTTTTGAAGGGGGTTGGTTAACCTCCATCAGAAGGTCTTCAGAAATACTGATTGAGCGTGAGGTGGAGTTAGATCAAAAGGTTGGTATTACTCTAGAGGATGTTAATTTGGTAAAACAGATTAAAGATCAAAGTCGAACTCATAAAAAGAATTTATAATGTTTTAATAGAATTGGATTCTGAAACAGAATTAATTAAAGATTGTATAATTAAATGGGCGCAAAATATTCAAGAACCGATTTTATTGGATACATGGGAGACAATTTGGGTTAGAAATATAAAATTTACTCAGGCGCAAAATTTAAGAGAAAATTTTTATAAAATGTTTTATAGATGGCATTTGGATCCCCAAAAGTTATCCCGCATGTATCCGAATTTACAGCCCAAATGTTGGAGATGTGGAAATTTAGATGCAACTTATTTTCATATTTGGTGGACTTGTAGAGGTATTAAAGCTTTTTGGATTAAGATTTGGTGGAATATTCAAAAGATTTTAAAGAAAAAGATAAAGTTTACTCCGCAATTATTTTTGTTGGGTATTATTGTAGATTTTGATGTTAGAGAAACTAGTTTGATGTTGAACCTTATAACAGCTGCAAGACTATTGGTGGGGCAATATTGGAAGAAAAATTTATTGCCTACTTTGGAAGAATGGATACTTAAAGTTTCTAATTTAGCAGAAATGGCGAAAATCTCCGCCTATTTGAAGGATCAATCACAAGAAAAATATATTATGATTTGGAGAAGATGGATTGATTATATTCAGAAGAAATATGAGATTGAAAAGTATTATCTTGCTTTTGAGTAGATTTTAGATAATTATTAATAGTTATAATTATCTTATTATCTTTGATTTAATTTGTTAATATTTGTTTGGAGAAGGAGTTAAAGTGTGTTATGGTTTTGTTTGATAGTATAGTTGGTTTATGTTAGTCAGATTATGTTTGTTTATTTTATTTTTTATCCTGTAATCAGCTCTGGGAAGTGGGGGAAGGGGTGGGGGGGTTTATATTGTAATAAATTTATAAAACTTTTAAATAAAAAAAAGAAATACTGATTGAGCAAGTCTAGTGTGAACTTGAAAAGGAGTGTTCAAGTACAGGAAAGGAGACAAAATAACAGAAGGCAATGGGCTAGGCTTGTTTACATTTGACCAACAAAAACAAATTCTTTTCCAAGAAAATCTTTCATTCTGTGACTTATTTTACATAATGTTTAAGTAATGTTTCTGCTAGTTTCAGGGAAAGACCACACATAAAGCTCTGTATGCCTTTAACCAGAAGCTTTATTTCTAGTTTTTTTGAATCTCTGTATGTGCTGCCTGGACTTTTGAGGTGTGGAGGGAAGGAAGAAACACTTTCTATATTCTGAATTCTGATCAGTATCTGTTGGCTAATAAAAAAATCAGAAAAATCAGAATACTCTCGTGCTGCCTATAAACTGAAGTGAAACTGGAACCTTGGTTGTCCTGCTATCCAACTTTTTTTTTTTTTTTTTTTTGTACAAATAATTCTGGTCAGGGAATTTTACTTCCTTTTTAATTATCTGGATAATTGTGCAGATGGAAAGTCTTCCCACCCCCATCCTTCCCAAAGAAAATCTGAAAGCTTTCAGTCGCCTGGAACACAGCACGAAGCCGGCCTTCATTCATCACCGGGAGTCACTCTGGAAGAGGTGCATCAGAGCCTGGTAAGTTGGGATTGGGTTAGGACAGGGGAAGGCAACCTTGGCTCTTTTATGACTCATGGACTTCAACTCCCAGAATTCCTGAGCCAGCATGGCTCAGCATGGAAACCTCTCCCTTTTCCCTCAACATGGCTGGCTCAGGCATTCTGGGAATTGAAGTCCACGAGTTATAAAAGAGCCAAGGTGGCCTACCCCTGGGTTAGGATGATCATGCCTGAGCTACGTGTTTCCACACAGATTGTCCTCAATTTTAAGACAAGTGCTGGCTCCCAGTTCTCAGTTGAAGAACTATAAGAGGAATGCCAAGTCTTTTCCCTCAGGGGATTTCTCTCTCTGCTGTTTTCTCTTTTTCGTGAATTTCTCACTTTCGGTATCTAAATCAGAGGAGAAAAGCATTGGCAGAGAAAAGAGGGACAGGCTAAATAGATTAAAAGTGGCAGCAAATTCTTAGGATGACCAGTCTGATTAGTGGCTGGATCAGATTTGTTATTTAAACCTACAAGTCTCCTGCCTTCATGTTTTCATGTCCTTGTCCAACTTACACGGTTGTTCTTCTCAGTTTTAAATAGAGTCATTTAATGTTCATAACACACCTTAAAAGCAGTTAAAAGAACTGCATCTGTGTCCCAGCAGAGTTGAGTCTGAAAAGGATATTGTCAACGCTGTGACAAACCGAACTGAAGCCATTTTCATTTTGTCTTCGTTGCCACATATTTGGTTAGAACAGTGGTTCTCAACCTTTTTAATGCTGCGACCCCCAACCGGTCGTAAGTCGAGGACTACTCAACCAGTCGTAAGTCGAGGACTACTCAACTGGTGCAGCACCGTTTGCAGAATGGGACTTTTGGCGGGCTCAGCAGGGCAGAGACAGCCTGGACAATTCCTATTGGCTTTTGAAAGCCAATAGAATTAGACTCTATTCAAGAGAGTCTATTCTATTGGCTTTCAAAAGCCAATAGAATAAAAGGGAGTAGCACAGCTAAGGAAAAGGGGGGGAAAATGGTGGACTGCGTTATTTGGCGACCCCTGTGAAATGGTCATTCAACCCCAAATGGGGTCCCGACCCACAGGTTGAGAACCACTGGGTTAGAAGAAGGAGTGGTGTGTGGGTGTAGTTCTCAGTTAGCCAAAACAATTCACATGTATGGGAACCAAGGTCATTTCTGATAACATTTTGGTGGACTGGAGCATCTGGGAGGAGTGCCTGTGTTTTCTAACAGTAGGTGAATGTGATTTAATGAAAGCAGTTTGGGGTGGGAAGTGAAATTGGCAAATTTGTAACCAAGTGGAGGGGAATTTAGTCTTGGGTTCACCTTTGTATCTGAAGTTACGTTTTAGCCAAATAAAAAATGTTCTTTAAGGAAGAAATTCTTGCCTTGAAGTTCTTTTAAATGGTCTCATCTATCAGAACCATGACAGATATTTCTTATTTTAGACAGTAAATGGGCTAATAATATAGATAAATATTCTCTGCATAACCCATCCTTTTGATTGGCATTGTCGTGGAAAAACCCAATGAAAAAGACAAGAGACAGCAGCACAAAACAATAATTCTTACTTTAAGATTCAGAGGTTTATTTTGCTAATAATTTGGAACATAGCAAGCAAAGTAACACAACATCACTTACATTAACAACCCATTGCAATGAGGACCATGTGGTATAGCAGATTCCAAAAGGACAGCTATAGGCCAATGACAAATCCATCAGGTCCAGTCCCAACCCTTTATACCCTTTCTCATTCTAAGACTGTAGTCAGATGGTCCCCTGACTTCTGCTGATTTTTGCTGAACATAACTTTCCACATATACCCGTGTACATTGGAACCCGCATTCATCAACTACTTTCAGTTCCTCTTTTCCCACCATTACAATACTCATGTTCCAAATATATATATGGAACTACCTACTTTGCAATATGTATTGCACAAAGCTCAGCAGATTGCAAATAATATGTCCGTATTGTGAAAACAACATAAAGTTCAAATTAAAGCTTTGTTTTAAATCACTACTGTGGGGCCTATCTCAGGCTTGCTCCAGCCTTATCTCATTATATGAGGAGGGGATTATATTTTTATCTCCCACAGCATCAACCTGGTATCTTCAGTCAAACCTATGGCTAAGAAGCAGTTAGAGAATGGCCTGCTAAGCTATAGTTCTTTGCTTGGTGGTTGTTATGGTAGTGACAAGAAAATCCAGAATCAGTCTGTGGGAATTAGTTATGTTCTTCCCTCTCTCTTAGCATTAAGGACACGTATACATTACACAGGGAGAACGCCTGCATTCCCCAGCATTTCATAGGTGGAGAACCAGGATAACATTATGGCAGCTGTGCTTGGTCTATTCGCAGTTCTTGGTATGTTTTCCCAGGCCCAGGCTGGTGATGACAAAATAGCACAGCTTTCCTCTGCTATTCTTACAGAAGAGTAAGTGGGGAAATTATCTGGCTGAGTTTCATAACATGAAGAAGGCTTGGCTTCCAAATGTAGATTTTTTTATTTTTTTTTTACAAGAGACCTGGCTTTGGTGACTCAGGAGAATACTACTTGGGTGATCAGTGAACCTGGAGGATAGGGAATAAAAACCATGTGGCTGGGTCACAGAAGAACACTGAAGCTTCTCATTAGAGAAGCTGAAATGGAAAAGCCAGGATCGCAAAAATCTGAAGTTGCTTTGATGCACAACAAATTACTTTTCCAATTGCACATGGAGTATAATCCTGCTCCCTCATAGAGCTTTCACACGTTTATATTTTATTTAGGCGTGATATTGGAGTGGCTGGTGTGCTTGAAGAACTTGCAAACGCAGAAGAGGAAGAGGATTCAGACCAGGGAACGAATCGGCAGTCTTGGGTGGAATCCTCAAAGGAGCTAGGTAGTGTATTAAGAATTGTACAGTACAGCTTGACCAGTTGAGGAGCGGATAGGAAAATAGTTTCTTAGCTCTCTCTGAAAAATCACGTTTTCTAGAAATTTAGGAGACGGTGATTGGTGCAATAAATAAGACCAAACAAGGATGTAGGAGTGATGTAGCTGTGATATCCACTGGTCCCATTTATCCTCAGGATTGATTTGATTAAATTGGCTCACTAGAAGGATATTATTTCCTGATAGATTTCTCCCTCCCAAAGCTTCCTGGAAGAATGATATGCCATCTCCCAGATAAGAGGAGACATTTTTTTCTTCTGGCAAGGCTATAACATTCTCAGATGTTACTCTTGCTGAAAAGAAAGACGGGTTTTTTTTTTCTTTTGAAGATAAGATATAAGCATGAGAAAAGAAAATTGATCCAGTTTATTAAGGTCATTTTTTTAAAACATGTACATTTTTAGAGTTGGCACACTTTGTGTCTTCTGTACAGGAAGTTCTTGACTTATGACATCAGTTGGGACCAGAATTCCAGTCATAAATCATTGTGGTCATAAGTCGAGAAACCACATCACCCGGCCCAAATTTTCCAACCATCTTTTTATAGCAGTTGTTAAGCAATCTTGCGGTCATGAATCTAAATCTACTCACTCAAATGGGCATTTTTTTTGCCATTAAGCAACTGGTTATAAGTTACGAGGACAATCTGTGTTATCTTTCAGCTCTGCAATGGATGAAATCTGGATCTCGATGTGCATTAGCCCTCTGCTGTTGGATATCCTCCCTCCATGGCTCCTTCTTTCCCCATTTGTCGGTGAGGTTTGTATAACGCAACCCGAGTAGAACAGAAGGACCCGGGGCAATTAAGGACTGGGAACCATGCCAATCCATACTGGGATCACATGGCGTTGCAATTGGTTGAGATGCCAATTGCTATGATAACGTAGCTATGCTAGCTATGTATTCTTTCAGTTTCACGGAGGGAACCTTTCCTTCTCCATTTAGCCCAGTGGTTCTCAACCTTCCTAATGCCGCGAACCTTTAATACAGTTCCTCATGTTGTGGTGACCCCCAACCATAAAATTATTTTTGTTGCTACGTCATCACTGTAATTTTGCTACGGTTATGAATTGTAATGTAAATATCTGATATGCAGGATGTATTTTTATTGTTACAAATTGAACATAATTAAAGCATTATATGTAATTGTGTGTTTTCCGATGGTCTTAGGTGACCCCTGTGAAAGGGTCATTATACCCCCAAAGGGATCGCGACCCACAGGTTGAGAACCGCTGATTTAGCCAGTTTCTCCTGTGTATTCAAATATGGCCACTCTTAACGGGGCTTCCAAGGAAGTATTAACATTGCTGTTTCTTCTTTCTCAAAGCTGCCAAGCGAAGATATAATAGCCAAATTCTCCCAGGCTGTGGATTGGTGAGTCCTGGGTGGTTTACATGTGTCCAACAACCAAAGAGCAGTTGTTGTCTGAACCATCTCCCTTATTGGAGGGAGATCCAGTTGATCTGTTTTAAACCTGAAATTGACGTGTTTTATCAACATGATACGTATTCTTTACTGTGTATAGAAGTCTGATTTACTAGATAATCTGCAGAATCCTTAATGTTTCTGAATGCATATTAGTTTAGGCAAAACTCATATTTTTTATAGTATCAGTTAACCCTAGAATAGCAGGCATTAGTTCTGTGGCTAATCATAAATGCAAAGTAAAATGTTTCCTTCGTATATTTATTTATTTATTTATTTATTTATTTATTTATTTATTTATGAGGCTTATATACCGCTTTAAGTGCAAGCACTCTCTAAGCGGTGTACACCAGTAAGCAATGTATATATATATTTACATTGCCCCCAACAATCTGGGTCCTCATTTTACCTACCCCGGAAGGATGGAAGGCTGAGTCAACCTTGAGCCGGTGAGATTTGAACCGCTGACCTGCTGAACACAGTCAGCTAAAGTGGCCTGCAGTACTGCACTCTAACTGCTGCGCCACCTCGGCTCTTTTTATACACATGCTTTCTGAAGTAATTGCCTTGTTGGTTAGCCTTTCTGACATGTCTCTTCAGAATCATCTAGTTTTCATTTAGATTGACATTTTCTGTGGCATGCAGCCAACCAACCCCAATTATGTAGCTTCTAACTTTTAAATCCCACTTGACTTTTAGATGGAAACAAGCCCAATGATATTTTTTGATGCCCCTTGTCTTGCATACCCAGGGTAGGCTGCTCAATCCGCGCTTTTGCATGGCATCCTCATACCAACAAATTTGCAGTGGCCCTTCTGGATGACTCCATCCATGTTTACAATACCAACAGGTAAGGGACCTAATTGGCCTAGGGTAAGAGCATTACTCTGAACAGACTGAAGCCAGTGGCAATGAACATGGCATATGACAGACATTTAGAAAGCTTGAACTCTCCAGGGTGGTATAGAAAGTTCTATTCAAGAATTTACTTAAGAGTTGATTAGCACAGGTCAAGGAAAAGAAATACAGTGGCACCTTGGTACTCAACTGCTTTGAAACTTATCAAATTTGGTACTCAACACATTTTGATGTGAAATTTTTGTGCCAGTACTCGTTGTTTGTGTGGTACTCAATGCACAAGCTAGAACTTGTCGGTGTTGGCTGCCTTGGGTCTCAGAACATTCTTCCTTATAGGGGAAAATGTGTTTGGGACTCTTGTTTTTGATACTCATTGCTCCTCCTGGAACCAACTAAGGATGAGTACTGAGGTACCACTATAGTTGGATTATTGGATCTTGAGATGAGAAATAGTAATAGGAGCTGTGTATAAGAACAAACTAGGTTTGCTTGAAAACAAGCTGGTCCCCCCACCAAAATTTGTGGGCAGAGGGAGAGAAGGAGATCATTTAGACAAAAGGTCGGCCATCCTGTACATGTATTCTTTGCCCACCTTTGTGCCTGTTTCAAGTGCTTTTGCATATTCTTGTCAAGAAGTGAAGATGTTCCCATATGGACCTGCCCAGTTAATAAAATATACAGGGAGGATCTGCTTGAGAGTACAGGTATTCCTCGAGTTACGAGTGTTCACTGAACGCTCATTCAAAGTTACGTGATGAGCACCCCCTAGTGCTTACGAGGAAGTCCCGAAGTTACGAATATTGTAGCACCACGGCAGTCATTCGCCCTTACGAGCGACTACAGAGGCTCTGCAACATTCACCCTGGTTATTCCTTCCTTCCTTCCCCATCCCGGCCCCGGGTCTCCCTAGGCCAGGGGTAGGCAACCTTGGCTCTTTTATGACTTGTGGACTTCAACTCCCAGAATTCCTGAGCCAGCATGGCTCAGCTTGGAAACCTCTCCCTTTCCCCTCAACATGGCTGGCTCAGGAATTCTGGGAGTTGAAGTCCACCAGTCATAAAAGAGCCAAGGTTGCCTACCCCTGGCCTAGGCACTAGACCTTCAATACTCAACCTGCGAAGATCGAGATCCTTCGCTTTCTTGGCTGCTCCAGGCCTTCAGTGCGTTCTCAGAGAATGGAGGCCTAAAGTAACGCAAGATCACACGAGATCAGTGGGTTGAGATCTCATGCTACTGATCTCGCATGATTTCATGGTACTTTAGGCCTCTGTTCTATGCAACAGAGAACGGAACGAAAGCTGCGGGACGCTTCCATGTGTCTCCGGAGGCTGGATCGGGGTTCCGGAGGCCTTTTCCAGGCCACTGCGGTCCGGATTTGAGGCCGGGGGATGCTTCTGCGCACCCCCTTATGCCCTGGTCCGGGTTCTAGAGGCTTTTTCCAGGCCACTGCCACCTGGCTCTAAAGCCAGGGAATACTTTCGCAGCCCCCCCAGTGGCCCAATCGGGCCTGGAAAACCCCTCCAGAGCCCGGATTGGGCCACGGGAGGGAAGAAGCATTCCCCGGCCTTAGATCTGGGTGGCAGCAGCCTGGAAAAGGCCTCCAGAGCCTGGATCGGGCCACGGAGAGGGTGTGGAAGCGTCCCCCAGCCTCAGATCTGGGCGGCAGCGAGGACACAGATCTTTTCCAGGTGAATCCAGTGCGGCAGGAAGGGAAGGGGAAGCATGCAGTATCTTAGTGGGTCAGGGAGGCCTTGGGGGCCTGTTCCATCACTAGGCCCTCCATGGCCTTTCCCCACCCTGAGATACCTCATGTTCGCTTAACAAGCTGTGTGCATTTTAACAAGCAAGGGAGTGATCTCCTTCGAAGCTCACTCTACGAGTTTTCGAGTTATGAGTGGGATGGGCAGGCTCCATTACACTCATAACTCGAGGAGTACCTCTCTGTGGAAGTTTGCAAGAGAAGATTTTTTCCCCTGGGCCCTCAAACTAGCATGCAACCCTTCTTTCCAAGGGTATAACTAGTCCACTGCCCTCCCAAGTGGCTCATTAATTTTTGTAGTTATTGAGACTTTTCTTTCTTACTTGGCCTTAAAAGATTATTTTTAGTATTTGATCATTATTATACTTGCACTGTAATGTTTTTCTTTAGGAAAGCTGTTGGCTTTACGCCCAACCAGCAGGTAGCCAAAATTAAAATATTAATATTCTGTAATAAATAAGGCCAAACCAAAATCTATCTTGTGAGGGATCTCCGCAATCTCCTGGTGATCATCCAGTAGAAATGGCTCAAAACCTGCGGAAAACCAATTGTCAAACCACTTGCCTAGTTGTTCTGTGTGGAAATCTACATAAATAAAAGTCAATTGTTTTATTCTTGGGCTCGTATGTAGAAATATAACATCTGACCTATTGATCGGAATCTTAGGAACTGAAAGGGCCATTAATCCAGTCCTCTGCTTAATAAAAGAATATTCCTGTAGCGTTGTCTTGAACACCTTCAGGAAGGGGAGCCTGCCTTGCTTTCTGCTAAGATGTTTCTTCCAACATGCAACTGAAATTTACCTTTCTATAATTGAAAACTTTCTTTTGTCTTTCACTTTGGAGCAACAAAGGACAAATCCTGATTTGTTTTCTGAGTCATGTCATTTTAAGGGTGTTTGAGCACACAGAGTAGTCTACATCAATTCTTTAGACTCATTTCACTGATAATCTGCTTTATGTCTCTGTTTGGGTTTTCTTCTCCAGTACTATAGTTCCAATCCTGAAGCATCGTTTGCAAAGAAATGTGGCTTTGATGGCCTGGAAGCCACTGTGTGCATCCATTCTGGCAGTGGGGTGCCATAGCTGTGTGTTGATCTGGCACCTGGATCCCACTTCCCTCTCTACCAGGTAACCAGTCAGATCTCGTGGATAAATCAGTGATGGCAGCCCACGTTAGCCAGCAAGTCACAATTGCTATTTCATTGCTGCTGTTTTGAAGGAAGGGATTATTAGATTTCAGATGCTTGAGACGGAAAAGACCTTCATGCAGCCCAGCTCTTTTTCTTTTAGTATATTCTAAATCTCTTCCCTGTTTACAGCTTTCCCCCACTCCTCCATGTACCTTTTCCCATTTCCAAACCGCATATCATATATCACGTGTCCCTTCTCCCAAGTATATGATCTAAGTAAAGAGTGGAAGAAAAATGAAGGTCCCTGTACTCCATTCAACTTCTGCTAATTGGAGACAAAGAAAGGAAAGCTACCATCCCCCCCCCCCAGGTCTTAGCAAGTTCTGGGTCTCTTCTCAAGGACATAGGCAGCCGTCCAGCAGAGAGTGGCAGTGCATGGATATCTTTGTGGCTTTCAGATACGTTATTTTAATATCCTTATTTTCTTAAACTGAAGAAAATATCTTCTGTTGTCTCTTGGTATTGCAAGCTTCTGAACAGAAACGATACCTTTCTATTGATCTGGGAGTTATTTTTGTTGAAGGCTGGGATCCAAATATTTCAGGCCACTAAGTGCCCGCCTCCATCCCAAATATTAACAGTGCTGCTCAACCTCTCTGATGTTTGGCCATCATGCGGCTACTTAACTGCACACATTGCTCATTTCTGTTAATGGGGATGTGGTGAATTCTGCAGCACTGGATGATAGATGTACTGATGTACCCTGGCTGGCACAGGGAACATCTGCAGAAGGGCTGTTCAGGGCTTCGGACTCAAAGGGAAAAGGTGCTTTGGAGCCCTACAAGGTTGCAGTCACAGCACCTCTCTGCAGTCCCTTAAGGCAGCCATGTTTTTTCCCCAGCATTGCATACTTGTCATCCACACTTGTCATTGCACACTTGTCATCCATGCAACTGTAGAAGACATTTTTTGGGTTAAGGAGAGCTGAGTGGTGCTATGTAGCTCTTAAGCCCCTTCTGACCTTCAGATTCAAACTGCTGCTCAGCCTTAACTACCCAGTGTTATTTTATTAGAGTACGTGCTCATATCTGGAGAAGCATCTGGGTGGGCTCACACAACACACTGACTTCTGGCTTAATTGTGGCTTGCTGCGTGGGTTTTCCTGAGACGACAGTGAACATCGAAAGAAATGACATGACGGGCTTCCTGTGACGTGTGTCTCCGTTTCCTGTAGGCCTTCCTCTGGCTGTGCTCAAGTGCTCAGCCATCCTGGCCACAGTCCCATCACCAGCCTGGCCTGGGCTCCCAGCGGAGGATTGCTTCTGTCAGCCTCACCTGTTGATACAGCCATGCTTGTAAGTATGTTGTGCTGCTACTGCTATTACGGTATAGAAGAGAGGTGGGGAACGATGACCCCTTTATGGCTTGTGGACTTTTAACACCCAGAATTCCTGAGCATGGCTGGCTCAGGAATTCTGGGAGTTGAAGTCCACAAGTCACCAAGAGGCCATCGTTCCCCACTCTCAGTTTTAGAACAACAAGAGGCAGCATAAAAGCTGTGGCGAGTAGAGCCACTGCCATTGCTCTGTAGTCAATGCCTTTTTGCAAATCTGGTTCTCTCAGGCAACGGAGGTCCTGGAATAGTCAAAGTGTTTGGGGGCCATTGTTTTGGGCAATCTTCTCAGAAGGTCTCCAGGGTAGCACGATGTTAATTTTTCTCCCATCAGACTCTTTTATCAGTGGTGTTGTTTTAGTTTGAAATGAGGGCTGCTAGAAGATTCCGGTTGGAAGAATCCTTCCACACTAGATTCTCTTCTTTTGACCTTGTGCCGCCAGGTGTGGGACGTTTCCACCGAAAACTGTATCCAGTTGCAGTGGTTTGGAGGAGGCGGGGTCACGTACCTGGCTTGGTCACCTGATGGCAGCAAGGTGCTAGCAGCGACACCTTCGGCAGTCTTCAGGTGAGCAGAAGTCTTGAAACCAGTCATCGAAGATCAGTCCTCTTTCTTCAGTGGAGTAGTGGACGGTGGGAAAGAACAGTGGACATTGTTACTTTCTTCGATCTGAAAGGTGCTCCCGAAGCAGCTTCCATTTCTTTTTACCGACTTTTTGTCCGTCTTGTTGCAGAGTGTGGGAGGTTCAGATGTGGACGTACGAGAAATGGCCGACTCTCAAAGGCCCTTGTCGGGTACGTTGGGAAAACGAGATGGTGAGGGGTTCTTAACTGATTTACAAAAAAATTGTGGTACTGCCCAGTTCATATTATTCAGCTCAGCAATAGTACACAGTCAAAGACATAGCTGCCTGGTCAGTATAAAATCTTGGGGAGAAAAAACTCCCACACCAAAATCAGTTATCAAAACCCAATTGAATTGCGTAGTCTTTCCATTCAGGAACTGAATTTCTATTTGGAATTTGCTTGTGACTGTAATGAACCAATCATTTATTCATCCATTTATTCATACTCTTTCCTGCCTTGCAAAACACTAATAAATAAGTTGCTAAATATACCTCTGGGACGGGATTCTTAGCATCCCCTTCCAAAGGTCTGGGAGATTCCACTGGAGGGAGATTATTCTTAAGATGGTGCTGGAGCCAAGCTCTCTAAAGCAGGGATCCTCAACCTTGGCAACTTTAAGACTTGTGGACAAAGCTGGCTGAGGAATTCTGGGAGTTGAAGTCCACAAGTCTTAAAGTTGCCAAGGTTGAGGACCCCTACTCTAAAGGACTTTATTGGTCAAATCAGCATTTTGAATTGGATGTAGACAGACAGCCTAGCCAACAGAGTGACCAGAGGGGTTGGTGTTTTATGATAGGGGCAGTTTTTGTAAAAAAAAAAAAAAAAAAAAAAAAAAAAAAACCAGGTCTCTGAACAGCTTTCAAACACACCTTCCTGTAGAATGGAGTTACAGTAGCTTAACCGCTCCAAAACCAAAGAATATATGTGTCTTTAAGGTTGAACTGTTACCTAGCCTGGTCAAATCCTGTCGCAGGAATATGAGGAAACACAGCAAAATCTCAGCAATCGAATTCTGGTCCTTTTGTTTTACCTGCATCAAAAGTGGATTTGTTTTTCCATTTTCTCTGTCTGGTCGCAGACTGCTTGCTGGAGTCCAGATGGCAGCCGTTTGCTGTTCACTGTCCAGGGGGAATCTGTGATCTATTCCTTATCTTTCTTGGAATATAGTGGTGAGTGTGCAGTTGTGACACTAATAATGGCTTCTCCATTTTTGCAGCATGAAAAAAAAATAGTTTTAGGCAGCATGCTTGCATCTTGGTCTCTTTAATGAAGTGGAGGTTGAGGTTATTGGGCGATGTTCTTTGGTGATTCTTTCTTGCGTATCCAGTGCAGTGGAGCAGCGAAGAAATGCTATTGAATAAATTTTTGACTGGTCCATGGAATTGGCTTTAGTGTCTTTGTCAGAGCATGTACAATCTTATTGCACTGAGATAACCCAGCAAGGTCAGTAAATAGTGGTCTATATTTAATGGTGGTTTATCTTACACTATCTACAACAGGGGTGTCAGACTGCCAGCCTGCAGGCCGGTTTCATCATACTGAAGCCACGCCCACCCCATTGCCGGCAATGGCAAAACTGGCCCGATATGTTGCACGACGTCACTCGCGAGTTTGACACCCCTGATCTATAATATCATACACCAGGAACAATATATACACACGTGTTAATACAGCAGTCTCCAACACACAGCCGTCACAGCAGGAAAACGAAAGAAAGATAGAAAACATCTCTTTTATACAGAGCTTTTAAAGAGACACAGACCCAGCTGGCTCTTAAAAGGATGTAGACCCTGCTGAGTCATACTCTTCATTACATCATATATCTCACATTATACAAGCTGGTTAGCTGTTAAATTATTACAGTCTTGACAGTCTTGCATAGTGCTACTTCATATTTGTTTAACACAGATTTGATTATTCTGCATGATACTTGGTTATTCAATGAACACAGATAACAAGCAAAGTAGAATCTGGAAGAACTGCTGGAAGAAAGTAATAAACGATGGGAGAAACAAACAGAATCTGATTGAGGTGTAAAGCTACTTTCTACCTACATCCTCCTATTGATTGGTTTCTCTCGCAACTTCCAATATTTCAGGAGAGCAGCAAAGGCAGGTCGGTGGGTCTAAAACAGCTTCCATTGTGGCAGATCTTTCAGAGACCACGTTCGAGACTCTCTATGGGGAGGAGAGGTGAGAGAAAGGGAACACCGTGTGTACGTGGAATTTGGTTGAGCGTTTTTAGCCTTCAACACTGTTGTGATTGCTCTGGAGCATTGATAACATTGGTTGCTGGAAGCGTAGAGAACTGGGCTTGGGTGGGAGTCAAAGATTTTTCTGAATAGGGTTTCCAGCAATTAGAAACCCTGGAGCCAGATTGTATAGCTCCTTAAATCTCGAGACGGGCTGCAGATAAACTTAATACAGTAATAATAATTTGATGATAATACATGTTTGTAGAATGAACTAAGGTTTTTTTTTTAAGGTAGTTTTTCCCCTATTAACATGCCATTAATAAAACCCTTAATAAGCAGGTTTTAAAGCAACTGGTCTTCCTGCTGTTGACATTTTAACTGTTAAGAAAGTCATCCTCTCCATCCTATTCTGGACTCCCAACTCTTTTCTCTTCCTGTTGCAGCAAAGTTCGAATGCTCGTTGTTGACCGTTAACATTTTAAGCGTTGTGTTCTGCTTCACGTCCTCTCTCCCTGTGTTCCAGGATTGGAGGGGAAGTGCAGTCCATGGTTTGGGATCCAAGCGGCGAGAGGCTTGCAGTGGTCATTCAAGGTGAAGCCTGCTTCTTTGAAACCATGGGGAGGGAGGCTGGGGGAAATGGAGGGCAAGGGTGGATGCGCTTGTCAAACATGCCCGTGCCCAATTCTGAGACCTTCTCTAGATGCAGCATTTTGTAAAAAAAACATTGGGGTGTTGTTTCCAGAAAGGTTTGTCTTTCATCTCTGAAAGTGAATGCAAGCGATTTGTACAACCAACAATAACAGCCTCCTCTGCCCCTCCTGGATACAGTCAAGCAGAAAGCACAGAAAGCTTCAAAAACCCACGAGTTATAACATAACGTTGTGCTTTGTGTGCACTTTAAAGGACATTTATATGTTACATCTCCAGGCAAAAAGAAGGATATTACCAAACCCAAAAAGGAAAGGGGAAAAAAATGCCTTAAAATTATTCAAAACAAGGATGAATTTAGTGTTCTTAGGATGATGGCATTCTTGCACTCCTCAGATAAAACCCTCGAAATATGTTAAGTACGTTGCTATGTGGATAATTCAGAATGTTATGACACTTTCCGTACATTATGTGGGCTTTTGCTCCTTTATTCCTTCTGCATTTCACATTCTGCCTTTCCTCCAGAGAGCTTCAAATGGAACGTGCGATCGTTTTCCCTTCCCACAGTTTACCCGCAGTTCTATAAAGGCTGAGGCACTTGCCCAAACTGACCCCGTCAGTTTCAAAATTATATATTTGGAAAAAAGGACACGGATGAAAGAATTCCCACTTCCTGCTTTACAAAAGTACATGCATATGTTAGTCTGTTGTATTTGGGAATGGCGCATCCTGCTTGAAGACTGAAATGACCCTCAGCCCTCTATTTCACCCCCTTTTTGTGGAAATGAGGGGAAGGGTATTGCAAGTATGAAGTGGCTACCTTGCTGTGCCTCAGAAACAAAATGTGTTTTAAAAAGATGCTAGCATTCTCTCTTAAAGCTGAGGGCCACCTCTTTCTTCACGATTTTTGAAACACTCTGCCAAATAAGACAACTCTTCTCTAAGCTCTAAGGAATCTAGGAGAGCATGAGCAGTAGCTATTCTATATATCGGGCCTGCTTTAATATTATGGTTCTTTTGGTTTACTGTTCGTATTTTTGTTGAACACCACCCAGAGCCACAGTGAGTTGGGCGGTCCTATAAATCTAATGAGAGTTGGGAAATGGTATAGGACAGGGGTATACAATCTTGGCTCTTTTATGACTCGTGGACTTCAACTCCCAGAATTCCTGAGCCAGCCATGCTGAGGGGAAAGGGGAGGTTTCCAAGCTGAGCCATGCTGGCTCAGGAATTCTGGGAGTTGAAGTCCACAAGTCATAAAAGAGCCAAGGTTGCTTTTACAGATGGCACCTTGATCCACAAAAAATGTCTCGTATGTATTCAAACTTGCAGCCTAAATGTTGGAGATGTGGTTGCTTGGATGCTACTTATTATCATATTTGGTGGTTATGCAAAAATATAAAAGCTTTTTGGATTAAGATATGGTGGAATATTCAAAGAATTTTTAAGAGAAGGATAAAATTTACTCCACAATTGTTTTTGTTGGGTATTGTTTCCGATTGCGACAGTAAAGAAACTATATTAATGTTAAATTTAATTACAGCGGCTAGGTTGTTAGTAGGGCAATGTTGGAAGAAGGATCTTTGCCTACTTTGCAAGAATGGTTTCTTAAAGTTTCCTATTTAGCAGAAATGGCAAAGATTTCGGCTTTTTTGAAAGATCAATCACAAGAGAAGTACCTTTTGGTATGGAAAAGATGGATAAATTTTATACAATATAAGTATGATATAAAAAAATATTACTTAGCTTTTGAATAATTTACATTTAAAGTTTAAGATATTTTTTAGATATTCTTTTTTTTCTTTTCTTTTTTCCTCTTCTTGTTTCTTTTCTTTTTCTCTTTCTGTTTTTTAAGTATTGGTGTTAAAGTATTTTATGATTTGTTTAATTATTATAACCAAATTTGTATATGGTTTATTTGTGTTTAAAAATTTTTCTTTTAAATTTTAATTAAGCCTGTATTCAGCTCTGGGAAGGTTGGGGGAGGGTTGGGTTGGGGTGGGTTGGGAGGGTTTGGGGAAGGGAATTTTTTTTGTAAAATTTTAAAAAAAATTCAATAAAAAAAAAGAGCCAAGGTTGCCTACCCCTGGTATAGGAGAAACGTCTTGGCTAAGAAAGAACTAGAAACAGTTGCTTCTGCATCTGAGTAAACTCCTCTATGTTCTGCTTTCTCACATGCACGTTGAAGTTGCTTTCTGTTTTTTCAAATACGGAAAGATTTGGCAGGGCAATCCCAAGGATATTTATTGCAAAGAGTCCCAGTTAGTTTCTTGAGAGTTATTCCCCTGACAGTGTGCACAGGATTGTGCTGTCAAAGACCAACAACCACACTGATTGCATACGACTGTCAATCAGTGAGATAATTCCTCCCAGCTCAGGCCTTTTTTGTGCAGTAGCCAAGAGCAAAGGCTCTTGTATGCTAGCTTGTGTTGTTCTAAAAGCTTGGTGCAAATTGTCCTTTAAAACTGCATTTTCCTTTAAATATATTTCCATAAGATGAGAGGAGCAATATTTAAACAGGCCATCAAGTTAATGTCAACTTACAGCAACCACGTAGATTTTTCTCCATGATGATTTGTCCCTAATCTGGTCCTTCAGATGTCTGTGGAGATTCTCGGTCATCCAGGTCATGGTTGTCCCAAAGGTGCTTTTTCAAGAGGCAATTGGACTTTCTTGTTTTTCTTTGAAGACGTTTCGTTTCTCATCCAAGAAGAACTAAGAGCTGAGGGAGCTTCTTGGATGAGAAGCTAGACATCTTCAAAGAAAAACAAAGAAAAAGCATCTTTGGGATGGTCCTTCAAATGCTCCACTATAACGGAGTCCCTCACCCTTGCTGCTGGTCTTGCTTGTCTCTTTCTTTCCATCTTTTCCTGCACTAGAGACTTCTACAGAGAGCTAATTCTTCTCATATAAAACGTCCAGAGTAGGATAACTTAAGCCTGGTCATTTGAACCTCAAGGGAGAATTCTGGATTGACTGGTTTGGTGATCGATTGATTTGTTTTCCTGGCTGTCGATTGTATTCCCAGGAGCTTTCTCCAACCCAAATGTTAAAAGTGTCAGTATAGGTAGTCTCGATCTGCAACCATTGGTCAGCAACGATGGTGCTGAACAAAGTGTGTGTCATAAATCACATTCTCCAGTTAGTTTGAAATGCAGGCTTCCCCTCCAATTTTCCAGCCCGCCAATTCTTATCATCTCTTATTTCAATAACCTTGGTTCTCACACTAGGTACAGTATTGTTATGTCTAGCTAAACCCTCATGCACATTCCTCCCCCCAGCATCATGTAACTCTAATTCTAAGAGTAAAACATAAGAAGAAAACGGTTGCATCTCCATTTGTTGTCAAAGCAAAAACATCCAATATTAGCACTGTTGACAGAGTGGTTAAGATTGGCCCTCAAAGTTCCAGCCATCCCAGTCCTTTGCAGTCATGTGACCAAAATCTGCAACCTGTTTGCATTTACGAATGGTTGCCCAGTGCACCGCACTCATGTGAAAGTCATTGGGGAAGCCAATGTGAAAGTCATTGGGGAAGCCAAGGGAAGTTCGTAGGTTGCTGAGCTAAGTCTCCCTATTTTATAGATGACGCCCAAAATCTCATGGACGTGGTTGGAAAGCCATGGCAGGAAGATCTAGGAATATGAGCACAAGGTCCATCCCACCTTCAGCTGTTTTAGGCGATGCCGTCGGTTTGGAAAACATGTCTGGCTGTCACATTTGGCCCACAGTTTACATACACGAAGTGCTTTGCAAAGTTCCCTACTTCTAATGTGTGTTTTTTTTCCCTGCAGGGAATTTGGATGCCTCCAAGACTATCACTGCAGTGTTTCGGACTCGCAATAACCCTGTGTTTGAACTTCTGCCCTGGTTTGTATTGTCCTGTCCCTCTTTATGTGGAAATGGATTCCATAAGCCATTTCTTATCTATCAACAGAATCTAGATTGTTTTTTTCCTTCTTTATATAGTTTTGAAGGGGAGGGTCCTCTTCAAACTATTGTGGTTATGGAAGGGAGGCAGATGAGGGAGGTTCTTTCTGTTTTCCTGTCAATCTTTGGAAGTTTTGGCTTAAATTCCAGATCATGTTCCTCTTAATAAATACAGGTGGTCCTTGACTCGCGACCACAATGGAGCCAAACATTTCCATTGCTAAGTAAGGCAGTTAAGTGAGTTTTGCCCCATTTTACGACCTTTCTTGCCACAGTTGTTAAGCGAATCACCGCAGTTGTTAAGTTACACGGTTGTTAAGTGAATCTGGCTTCCCCATCAACCTTGCTTGTCAGAAGGTGATCACGTGACCCTGGGACACAGCAACCGTCACAAATACGAGTCGGTTGCCAAACGCCTGGATTTTGATCCTGTGACCATGGGGATGCTGCAGTGGTCACCAGTGGAAAAACGGTCGTAAGTTGTGTTTTTCAGTGCCATCGTAACTTCGAATCGTCCCTAAAGAAATGATTGTAAGTTAAGGGCTACTGTATGGTAGATATGGCTTGCATTGAGGAACACACGAGTCTAGACGTAAGAGGTGAGGTCTCTTTGGCCCTTTAGATGTTGCTGAACTTCAATTTCCTGTAACTCCAGACAGCCTGAACACTGCGAAATATTGCTAGGAGATGTCTGCTGGGCCAGAGGTCTCCAACCCTTCTCAGTTGGTGGATTGGAGAGAAAGGGAGGAGGAATCATTTTACACGTGCATACATACAAACGGTGCCGCAAGCACATGCAACGCAAACGGGGCGGTGCTAGCATGACACTGCCTAGCACCGCTCTGTTTTTTGCTGTGCGGGCACTTGCACCATCCAGGTTTTGTCCCACAGTGTCCAGTTTGTGTAGCGGCGGTGGCGCTAGCCTCAGAGGGTGAGTGTGCGCAAATGGCCGGCCTGTTTTGCAGGCCAGTGGCCAGTAGGCCACGGCCCACAGTTTGGGGACCCCTGCACTAGGCAACAAGTCATTCACTCTAAGTCAAAGAAGCAGGAGAGGTAGCACCCTTGGGATATTAGATAAGGAGAATTAGAAACCGCTTGGCCACGGAATAAGTATTTAGAATGAATAAAATTAGAATTAGGAATAGAATAGAATAGAATAGAATAGAATAGAATAGAATAGAATAGAATAGAATAGAATAGAATAGAATAGAATAGAATATAGAACTGGAAGGGATCTTGGAGGTCTTCTAGTCCAGCCTCCTGCTCAAGCAGGAGAACCTATACTATCTCAGACAAGTGACTGTCTAGCCTCTTCTTAAAAATCTCCAGTGATGGAGCGCCCACGATTTCTGGAGGCAAGCTGTTCCACTGGTTAATTGTCCTCACTGCCAGGAAGTTTCTCCTTAATTCCAGGTTGCTTCTCTCTTTGATCAGTTTCCAACCATTCTTTCTCGTCCTTCCCTCTGGTGCTTTGGAGAATAGTTTGACCCCCTCAAATACTGGAATACTGCTATCATGTCTCTCCTATTTCTTCTTTTCTTTAGACTAGCCAAAACCAAGTCCTGCAGCCATTCTTCGTATGTTTTAGTCTCCAGGCCTTGGATGATTTTAATTGCTCTTCTCTGAATTTTTTCCAAACTCTCAACATTTTTTTTGTGATATGGTGACCAAAATTGGCTGCAGTATTCCAGGTGTGGTCTTACTAGGGTTTTATAAAGCGGTACTAATACCTTACGTGATCTTGATTCTATGTCTCTGTTTATACAACCGAGGATTGTGTTGGCTTTTTTAGCTGCTGCTGCACACTGCTGGCTCATGGTTAAGTGATTGTCCACTGGGATTCCAAGGTCCCTTTCACAGTTACTGTTTTTAAGCCAGGTCTTGCCCAATCTGTACTTGTATCTTTGATTTTTCCTGCCTAAATGTAAAACTTTGCTTTTCTCCACATTGAAACTCATTTGGTTGGATAGGGCCCATTATTCAAGTTTGTCAAGATTGATGTGTGCTGTGCTCTAAGTACTCTCTAAACAGCCTTTGGGTATCCCTGTTATAATATGCAGTATCTTTCTTCTACCACTTCTAGTGGTTTCTTACAGGGTGAAGATGGGGTTCAGCCACAGCTGGTCACTTTTCATCCTTGCTTTAAGAAGGGAGCCCTTCTAACTGTGGTAAGTTCAACCGCCATGTGCTGAGATCTGTGAAGAATGCCTGAGCCAGCTGGCAAGAACTGTAGCTGCCTTTGCAGTTGCTGGTGCTACTTGAATCTGTGTTTTCTAAATGCTGTAAGAGGGTTAAGCTGATCAAGGAAAGGGATGGTTTTGCTGTCACCAGGTATCCTAAAACCCATAAAATATAATGTTGGCTTATTTTGCTGTCTTATGCACATTTCACAGAGCACTAACAACAGTCTCTCTGGATGGGTGTTGCAATTCCTCTGGAGTAATTGTAAGATTCCTCTTGTCTATTCTAGAATATCCTAGGTGAAAATTTAAAGGGATATATTTTACTCAACAGCCGGGCTCTTCCCAATCAACACAGTAAGGATTAGTGTAAAATTATCTCCAGATCCAAAGGGGGTGGGTTGCTTTGTAGCGTCATGTAATTTGGCTTAGATATTACTCTGATGCTCAATTATTGTTTTGTTTTTCTGAATTGCATAGATTGATATATTTGGAATCTGGCTTAGGGATTTGTTTGGATTTTGTGCGCGTTGCATGATTCTGTCCTGGGCTACATATACAATTAGAAACGTAAGAGTCCCAAGATTATTAAATTTTAAAACCAAGTTTTGAAGCCCTTAAGGTATTGTTTCCAGACTTCTGAAAGCTGAAATGAAATATGAGGCACACTTGACTCCTGTGCCAAAGTTTTATATTTATTTTATGTAAGAAAGTATATTACTCTGACTAAGAGGAGATCAGTCCCTATTTCAACATAAATCATTTATTTAGATGTATTGCCACTTTGGAAAGAGGTTATTTATTTATTTAGCGTGCTTTTAAACTCAGTTCTCTACTGCCTGGCCTGAAACTACAGGGTAACACCAAGTTCAGCTATAGCCCCCAGATATCTTCAAAAGCTACCTACAAAATTGAAATTGTTTAAGGAGAAGAAGGAGAAAATGGCAACAACTAACGCAGACTTGCAAAATTACCCGTGCTGGAATGATCTGGCTGTGCAACCCAATCAACACATATGATGATTGAATATTAGACCTGTCAATCAAAATATAGCGGCATCACCAATTCCTTCCAGTTTATATTCTGGAGAGAGATGGGAACTGCGGAGGTGGGGATTTGGACAGACGAAGGAAACTTAAAAGTCTTAGCCTTGGGGAAACCTTTATCTGTCGCAGTCACAAGAGTACGAATGTACATTTAGTGCTGGGGAAGAAAAGGATTGATAGGCTGTATTCACAATGTAATATTAAGAGAACCTGTTTTTCAATCCATTTTAAGTCACATGATTGTGCGTTTTTGTGTCTTCTCCACATTCCACCTGATATTTTTATTTATTGAATTTATATACTGCCCATCTCACTGTCAAGATATGAATAAGAAAATAGAGGCGAAAATCAGATGTCAGGAAAGGAAAAGGCTTCATAATGGTTACAAAACCAATAGAAAGAAAGGATATATGCCAGTGTTTCTCAACCGTGACCATTTTAAGGCATGTGGACTTCAACTCCCAGAATTCCACAGCCAGCAATGCTGGCTGTGGAATTCTGGGAGTTGAAGTCCACATGCCTTAAAATGGTCAAGGTTGAGAAACACTGATATATGCAATCAGGCCAGAGAATCAACTTTCAGGTTCTTTAGCCACATTCCACAAGCAAGTCTGTTCACTGATTTAAAATACATAAGTACACTAAAAGATATAGCTGCCCATCTTAAACCAAACTCTGGACAGCGTACAGCCAAGAATAAAACACATACATAATAAAAGCAAAAGCAATAAAGCCAATAAGCAAAAGCCAGTTGAGCCTAACAGAAGAGTCCAACATCATGCACAGCACGCCCGCTCGTTCATCTTTCCAATGTTGGCTTGCTGGATGCATTTCTGCTTTAGACCAGGTGTGATGCTGCATGACCTGGGATCTTTCCCAGCGAGAAGAGAGAAACCATCTGTGATTGCCCAGGACCTCTTGAGCAAACAGGAATGCTTTGCTTCTTGCCTTTGGTTTGATGCTTGTGTCTTGTCTTTCACAGTGCTGGTCAAACGGAAGTATCAGCCACGTGCCTTTCTTCTTTGTGACTGCTCAGTTTCCTTCGTTTAGTTCTGGGCAAAGTCCTCTCGCGCCCTTGGCCAGCTGGAGCAACACCCGGGAGCAGCCACTGTTTTCAGAACTCTGAAGGGTCAACTCTGCTAGGACTTCGCTCTGCAGGGCTCCCAACGTCTGTCTCCATCAGCCTGGGGAGACCTGGGACTGAGATTTGATTTTGTATGTGTTTCCTCCATGAGCTGGACGTGGATTATATGGTCTGCGGTAGAAACTGGACCTGAGGAATGCCTGCCTGCTTTCCTGAAATGGACGATGTTGTAGTTGTATTTAGGGCAAATAAAAAAAAATTAAACACATCAGTTCCAAGATCCTGTACTGGCCTACTGTTCTTTTCCCTGAAAGTCAAATAGTAATAGTAGTAAAGTTGGAAGGGGCCTTGGAGGTCATCTAGTCCAACCCCCTGCTCGGGCAGGAAACCCTACACCATTTCGGACAAATGGCTGTCCAGTCTCTTCTTAAAAACTTCCAGTGTTGGAGCATTTACTGCTTCTGGAGGCAAGCTGTTCCACTGATTAATTGTTCTCACTGTCAGGAAGTTTCTCCTTAGTTCTAGGTTGCTTCTCTCCTTGATTAGTTTCCACCCGTTGCTTCTTGTCCTGCCTTCAGGTGCTTTGGAAAATAGCTTAATTCCCTCTTCTTTATGGCAGCCCCTGAGATATTGGAATACTGCTATCATGTCCCCCCTTGTCCTTCTCTTCGTTAAACTAGACATACCCAATTCTCGCAACCGTTCCTTATATGTTTTAGCCTCCAGTCCCCTAATCATCTTTGTTGCTCTTCTCTGTACTCTTTCTAGAGTCTCAACATCTTTTTTACATCGTGGTGACCAAAACTGGATGCAGTATTCCAAGTGTGGCCTTACCAAGGCATTGAAGAGTGGTATTAATACTTCACATGATCTTGATTCTATCCCTCTGTTAATGCAGCCTAGCACTGATAATAATCCTCTCTACAAGCTTATTTTGTCTAATTGAGAGATTAGCTGTAATTTTGCTGAGCATGTTTTTCACTGGCTGCCTGACGAGGGCTTTCCCCAATATTTTGTGTTGCCCTGGGGATTAGTGAACTTCATTTCCTGGAGGTAAGAAAGAAAAAAAAGACAATTTGTTGTTCCTTGAAATAGTTTGAACTCTGACTCTGACAGATTTTGCCATTCGTCCTGGATTGAAGTGCTCATTAAAATTGGGTAGATGCCAAGTTGTCCCACCACTGTTTGGCTAAAGAACTCATTGCAGTAAGTTGTGTGTTTGTTCAGTTTTGGCTTGGCCATATGCATGAACCCATGCACTGTGTTGTGTAAACCATAGTTTATGACTTGGCATCATGTGTCTTCCTGTGGATTAACACAAGATGTAAACCAGATGAGTAAAATTAGCCATTGGCTTAGGCGCAGTGTTTCTCAACCTTGACAATTTTAAGGCATGTGGACTTCAACTCCCAGAATTCCACAATTCCAGAATTCTGGGAGTTGAAGTCCACATGCCTTAAAATTGTCACGGTTGAGAAACACTGGCTTAGGGCCATGCGCAAATAGGTATTTTAATGAATCAAAACAGAGTGAGATACTCATCACCAAACGTGAACCTGGTCAGTCCCATCGAAATGTTACAGGAGAGTGTATTGTGGGGTGAGGGTGCTTGAGTAACTTCATGAATATTTTAACATGTATTTGCGAATGAAATTGGAATGGGTACCTCTCATACACCCAAATGAGTGTATGTATGTAAGATATTTTGTGTGTGCATGGGCGATTTTAATTTTCCTGACAAAGCAAATATTTGCGAAAATAAGGGGAGATTTGATCCTCTTATACTTGGGCTCTTGGTTCCATCTTTCATTTTAAAAAAAAAGTTTCTGAAAAGAATGGATTAGGTTGGAAGTTTGCTGGTGACTTACTCTGAGCTGTTAAAATGGGCAAATTCCTGCAGAACAACATGCTTCTTGATAATGAAGATTACCTGGGAGTGAGTGTTAGTGAGGAGAAGTTAATGTTAAGTACCCAAAAAACCACATCTCCAAACCATTGTTTTATATGGGCATTAGGATGGAAATGGGATAAATTCTTAAGGTCACTTCTCTCCCTTTTATTTAGTTATTTTTTAAAAAAAAATCATTGTCAAAAAGGATAAATGAATACTGGTGAATACTGGTAAGGTATTTTTGTCTTGAGCTTTGGGAGGGGGGGGATTGCTGCAGAGAATTTCCACTAGAGGTAGTTGTAAGCTGATCTTCAGAAAGAGAAGTGTGTTCAAAATAAGCAACAGCAACAACATTTGGCTGTCTTCTTTGGCTCCCTGCCACCACACTGCCATCTCTGTCACTTCGATCCTTTTGTATTTGGGCTCGGGGGTACAACGTCCCATATCTGGACTGAGCATCTGGTTGTTTCCCAAAGGGAGGTTGTATGCTGCTGTGGAGGGAGAATCACAGATTGTGTTTCCCTGTTGCACAGTGTAGGACAAGTCTCCAGCCCACCATATTGTACACACCTTGGTGTGCCTGTGAGCTGAACAGCTTTTACTCTGAATTGCTGGCAGATCATTGGAAGAAGAAGAAGAGGAAAGTCACAAAGAACTCTGCAATTCTTTTAGATTGCTAAGCCCATTGTCAAAAAAAAACAATCACCTAAGAGTTGGGCTGTGTAAGAGCTCTGTCGCTTCCCCACTGACCTGTCTGGTTGTCCCCATGTTTGTGATACATTTAGAAGTAATCTTGAGATTTGTATTTCTGTGATATTGTATGAGGGCCAGCAGAAATACACCAAATACTTATCAAGAATTCATAAGGAACTCTTTCTTTCAACAGGAATTAATTTTTGCAGCTCCAATCCAGTAGGTTGGTACTCTCATATGAACACCACCTTTTGAATCAGGAGACAATTTAACTATAAAAATTGCCTGATCAAGAGATTTGCAAGGCAGAGAAAAACCATCAAGGCCTACTTGTTAATGATACAGAAGAGCCTGTTAGATCAGGGGTCCCCAACCCCCGGGCTGTGGATCGGTATCGGGCTGTGGCATGCCAGCAACCAGTACGCACAAACAAGCAAAGCCCCATCCGTGGGATGCAGGCAGCCCATAAACCCACACACAATCCGGTCCATGGAAAAACTTCTTCGCGGAACTGGTCCCTGGTGCCCAAAAGGTTGGGGACCTCTAGGTCAGATGACTGGGTCAAGTAAAGCAGCTGGAATGAGAATGCCTGTGTCTACACCAAAAAACGATGCAATCGACTTCTGCTTGCCTTCTCTCCACAAAGATTTTTAAAGAGCACATTCTTATAAAACAGTGATGGCGAACCTATGGGACACGTGCCAGAGGCGGCACTCGGAGCCCTCTCCGTGGGCATGTGTGCCGTCACCCCAGCCCTGCCTCCCCCTGCGACCCCCTCCCCACCAGCAGCCCCCCCCCGAGGAGAGTCACCCCCGCGCGGAAAACACAGCCAAGCACATGGCAGCCAGGCAGTGGGGACAAGACTCTGCCCTTGTGCCATCGCACAGTTGATGCTGCAGGGCACGGGCAGAGGGGGTGGCCACCACGGCGCTACTGGGCCACCTGGACAATCTGCAGCGGGCCGTGGAGGCAGTGGGAGGCTCTGTGGACAGGCGGGGCAGGGGCAGGCTGAGGCGGAGCAGCCGGAGCGGGGGTGGGCAGGGTGCTGGGTTTTGGGCACTTGGTCTGTAAAAGTTTGCCATCACTGTAATAAAAGCTTTTGTAACAGAGAACGCTGAGTGAAATAGCCAATAATAAAAAACTCACCCAGCTTTTATTGATTCTTGAATTGCTGTGAGGGTTTGTTCTCCTTTGGGCTTGGCTGCCTGGGTTGCAGCCCATGATGTAGCTAATAGAGCCATAGGTCTGGAAGGAGAGGGATGGGGCAAGGCAAACACGTTTAAGATTGATAATTACAGGTAGCCCTCGGCTTATGGCCACAATTGAGCCCAAACTATCAGTTGCTAAGTGAGACGTTTGTTAACTGAATTTTGCTCCATTTTTTATGATTTTTCTTGCCACAGCTGTTAAGTGAATCACTGCAGTGGTTAAGTTAGTGACACAGTTGTTAAGTGAATTTGGCTTCCACCATTGACTTTGTCAGAAGGTCGCAAAAAAATGATCACATTTTTCACACTGCAGCCGTCATAAATGTGAGTCAATTGCCAAGTATCCGAATTTTGAACACTAGTCATCATGGGGGATGCTGCAATAGTCGTAAGTGTGAAAAATGGTCATAGGCCACTTTTTTCAGTGCCGTTGCAACTTCTGTCACTAAATGAATTGCTGTAAGTTGAGGGCTACCTAGAATGGGTTGATTAATAAGATCGTGCTTTCCGCAGCAGTAATAATTGATGGAAAATAAGCAGACCAAAGAATATTTATACAAGAGTCGGGGGAGGGGTGCCTTTTAGGGGGCATCCCAGGTACCCATCTAGTCACCAGGAATCAAACTTCATTCATGGTGGATTGTACTTTGAAAGGAGATAACAATTGGCATTACCTTTCATGAATTAGACTATTTCATCAAGCATGAATAGCTGATGAAATAATTGAATAGACCATCCTCTTAAAAACGTGTCTAAGGCTACAAGGCAAAAGTGTTCCCATCTTAATTTCATTATCGTCTAATAATCCTAATGATTAAAATAGACCAACCTACTCATATATGATAAAACATATTTAAGTGTTTTGATATGTGGATTTGGAAAGATCAAAAGAGTGTCTCCTGCTTGTAATGCAATTTTAAACCTTTTTTCTTGGCCTTGAATTGTAATCTAATAGCAACAAAGAAAAATTTAGGTACCTTATCGCTCGTTAGTCTAAAACATAAAATAAGGACCAGAGAAATGTGAGTATGGAAGTAGATGTATTTTTATTTATGCAGGCACAGCCACCAAAGAAGCAGAGTCAGACACACAGTACTTTTGATTACAAATATGCATTTCATGTCAATGATGGGAAGCAACCTGGACTTAAGGAGAAACTTCCTGACGGTGAGGACAATCAACCAGTGGAACAGTTTACCCCCAGAGATTGTGGGCCCTCCATCACTGGAGATTTTCAAGAGGAGACTAGACATTCGCCTGTCTGAGACGGTATAGGTTGTCCTGCTTAAGCAGGGGCTGGACTAGAAGACCTCCAAGGTCCCTTTCAGATTCTATTCTGTTCTGTTCTGTTTTTCTCCCCAAAATAGCATTTCCTTGGAGCAATGGGTGAAGTGAAGGTCAGTTGTAGCTAGAGCCAAAAATCATCCTATTTCTTTCACCATCGCCCTTGTTTCTGTTTTTCATCAATCTCATTCCTTTTAAAAATTGCTTTATTTGTGGAGATGCTACCAAAAAAAGGAGAGCTACCTGTTACCAAGAGTCTTCTTGAATTGAATTAGTGCTTCTTTGGAAATTAGATTGAAGATGTCAGCTGTCCACTTCTGATGTAATACGCTGAGAGTTTTTAAGAGGATAGTCAAAGCAGTTTGGGAGGGGGAGGAATGGCAATAGCTGAGCCGATTAGAGGGAAACATCTCTGTAAAACATCAGGGATTAAGAAGCAGGGATTTGTTATTGACTTCATGCTTTGCTCCCTAGTATTAAACTATGATATATCTAGAAAGAGGGATCCAGCTTGACTGACAGGTACTTTATCTAGTGTAATTATAAGAAACAGTGTACACAATAGAAAGGGGATCTAGCTTTTAAACAACTGTTTTGGATTATATCACACGGTGGCCTGTGGGGGAGACAAAAAGCAGAAATAATGCTGCAAGTGCAGTTTTCAGGGGCATAATTCCAACAAGGATTACAAGGATAATTACATCTGAGATTTGGTTGTATTGTTGCCATTTGTTCTACTGTTAAAGGCACAGGGGGATGTTTGCCAGGAAAGATGGAGATGCCAACCATTATCCATATTACTTATGCTTCAAAATGTTTACAGAAAGGGGCCACTGGGAGGAAAGAAAATCTGCAAACATGACGGGTGGGAGGGAAAGCAGAAACGAAGACACCCCCCCCCCCCGGTACAAACTGCCTACTGAAAGTGGGATTTCAGCAGCCCAAGGGAGACGATGAGGCTTGTAGTTTAAGCAGACGTGTTCCTACTTTTCTAAGAGGGCTGTGAACTATCCACCTTGTTCAGGGGTAGGTAATAACCTTGGCTCTTTTATGACTCGTGGACTTCAACTCCCAGAATTCCTGAGCCAGCCATGCTGAGGGGAAAGGGAGAGCTTTCCAAGCTGAGCCTGCTGGCTCAGGAATTCTGGGAGTTGAAGTCCATGAGTCATAAAAGAGCCAAGGTTGCCTACCCCTGACCTAGTTAGTGAAAGTTGGAAATGTAATTTTTTTGGAGGATGATTTTAAAGCCAGTCTTTGATCCAGCGATCTTAAGAGCATCCACAGTTGGGGAAGGGAATCCTTGCCTCTCAGGCTGCTGCTAATTTAACCAATCAGCAGATTTAACCAATCAGATATTTGTTGGAGAAGCCAGGAGAAAAAGAATCTTGTCAGTGAGATTGGTGCACATTGAAAAGTGGAAGCTAGTGGGTTAAGATGTGAGTTTCCTATCTTTAGAGCAAAGATTCCTAGTTTATTCAGAAAAAAAAAATAGCAAGTAACACATGAGCAAACTACCAAATAAACACCCAAAATATCTGATGGGTTGCAACTTTAGCCAAACCCAGTTTAGCCCAATGTTTAACCCAGATAACATTCCAGCCTATCAGGAGAGAAGGTCCTAAATCAAGTAAAATCATACTGGAGTAATTCTTGTAGCTAAAATTGTCATATGGGAGAAATTGATTGACTAGATTATGTCGATGTAGCCTTACAATGAAACCAGCTTGCTGTAGTGGTTAAGGCATCATGCTAGAAACCTGGAGACTGTGAATTCTAGTCCTATCTGAGGTACAAAGCCAGCTGGGTGACCTTGGGCCAGCCACTCTCTCTTAAGTCCGAGAAAGTGGACAATGGTAAGCCTGTTCTGAAAAACTTTGCCAGGAAAATTGTCCAGGCAGCCTGTGAGAATCAGACAAAATTGAACGGAAGGGGGAAAAAAAAAGACTTGCAAATAAAGTAGAATTAGTTCACCTGGTTGAAGTTTCTTGTCTGGTCTCCCTGGTAAGGCTGACATCAATCTTGTGAATCTGAAAATACAATTCTCCACTGTCTCCTTTATGTCCTGAGAAATTAGGGGTGATCCCTTCAGAGCCTCTTGCACCACCCATTTATCCATCTGCGGGCTACGCTGACTTTTAATGTGACTGGTCCCTAGGCAGCATCTCAGAGGCCAGACTCCCAAGATCTTCCCCGTATACCATTACAGTTGGATGGCGACATTGGTTCTTTGTCTTAGGCAGCAATTCTTTTTTTGTTGGTTCCCTAGATTTAAAGCTAGGTTTCTTTAGAGGGACAAACTCTTTATCAGATTAAATCTGCTTCCACAGCAGTTCTGTATTGTGTCGCCCCCAGCACGTGTGCGAGTCTACTCAGTCAAAGGATCGTGCTGAGTGTATTGCCTTCATCCACCTCTTTCTCCTCGTGTTGGAATGAGCTGCTGGGAACCGGCAGGGATTTGAGGTATTCCAAGTGACGCCGGGATTCGGCTTGGTTGCGGTGGATATAATAGATGACATAAGCAATAACAACAGCAAACCAGACAAACATCGTCAGCAGCATTGCAAAATCAGTGTTCCTCTGCTGAGTGACACAGAAATTGACGCCAGTACTGACCAGATGGGGCAAAGTCTTCCCAACATACTCCTTCCAGGTTGCGGTGGTGCACACAATGTCCTCTGCCCACCCCGGTCCTAAGGAAAGAGCCTTCATCAGCTCCTGCAGGGAGCAATCACAATGCCAGGGATTGTTGTAGAGTTCCAGCTTTACCCAGGTCAGCATGATGAAGGGAGCAGCGTCTATTTTCCGTAGCTTGTTTCCTGAAAGGTCCAGGAGCCTCAGCACGTTCCCTAAGCCATGGAAGGCTCCTGGAGAAATGCTCTCGATTAGATTGTCTGCAAGGTGAAGTTCATGGAGGAGTTTTAGGCCACGGAAGGCCCCAGTGGATATGTGGACAATCCAGTTAGAGTCTAGGTACAATACTCGAGTGTCATGAGGACTGTCAAAAGGGATAACCCTCAGATTTCTCCAGCTGCACCATACCACACCATTTCCTGGTGGGCAGTCACACCTTCGAGGACATGACTGATGCCCATGCAAGCCATGGATCAGGAACAAGAAGATAGACAACACTGACATCTCTGCTGAGTTCTTCACAAATAACAATGAGATCCTGGTTTGCAGGCCCAGAACTCTGATTGAGAAGCAAAGGGATGGGACAGAAAGTAAATGAGAGTGATAAAGTGTCTTTCAGTATATTTAATCGGTTTATTTTGATAGTGGCTGGGATCATATGACCTTAAGCCATAAAGCTTCATTAATAAATGGGCACATACTATTTTTTGTCTGTTATGAGTTATATTTAACCAATGCTATTTAACCTAGCATTTCCTCTCCATTAGGAGTAGCTCCTGTTTTGTAAGCAAATTGTTATAGCTTACCAATTTATTTTTCTTAAATCAAAAATAATCAATGTTTTGGAGATGGAAAATAAGAAACCCCCAAACTTGATGTGAGGGTTATAAAATGGTGACATTAGATATATACTAATTAATTAATCTTTTGGTTTATCCTGTATGAATACAAGCAGGGTGGAAATTTTTCATACATTTTTCAGCAAAGAGGTAGACAAAATGTAGGTCTGATTTTAGTGGAATCTTGGTGATTCCTATTAATATCTACCCAAAAGTAAGCCTCATTTGTTCCAAGGTGTTCATTTCCAGGTAAGTGAATGAGATTATCAATCAAAAGAAATATTTTTCAAAATTCTCTTTTCTTTTTTTTTATAACTTGGGTATATTGGTTGAGGTACTTGCTTTAGAGATCTCCAGCTATTTTTTTTTTCCTCAAATTCAGCAGTGTAAAAAGAAAGGTGCATATTTGGCATTGGCTATATTGGTTTTGTATATAATCATAATTTAAACCTGAATTGCCAGTGAGATTTATAACTCAGTGATTAGAGGAGAGGAAGTCAGATGAGAGCATAAAAGACAGGACTTATAAAAAATTAATAACGATGGCAGCTGAAATATCAGATTAGTAATGAATGCAGGTAAGAAAGATTAAACATGGAAATCTTAGACTCTAATTAAGGAACTGGTTATTTGTCCTGGTCAATTTGCTTCTGAGGTTGATTATTTTCTTTCAGATTACAAAAAGAAGCCCATAAATTTACAGTGGAACATCTACTGGTACCTTTTGATGTTTCTTTCCTAGCCATGCTTATATGCTTGCCAGATTCCAGTAGCTGCCCCTGTGCCTTTAATAGCAGTATGGGCGACACATTACTTTCTCCCTGACAGGAAATGCTTCACTTCTAATACTCGAAACACTTTTGCACACCCACATTTGATAAGTCCCTTCTCTCTTGCTCTTTCCCTTTGCTTATTTAGAAAATTACAATACATATTAAATGAATACCAATGCTTTGTTTTGCCTTTGCTTGGAACAGATATCACTGATGCATGTCTATCTGTGAGTGATTATATGATCAATCTACACTCAACAGAGAAATGCGATAGTATGATTTGGTTAGCCAAAATTGATCAGACCGACGCCACAGCTATTGCTCAGCAATTTTTGCCTGTCAACTATTTTACTGAAATAAATGAAGGTTGAAGCAGCACAGTAGTTGGAAAACCTTGGAGGACAGTCAATTGAAGAGATTTTTTTTTTTTTTAGATTTCCATAACATCCCTTGAATGAGGCAGAACCAAACAAAACTTTTCTTAAGAGACATCGTCTATGTGTCAGGTATATCATCTCTGGCTAACTCCGATGTCCAATGAGTTGGTGAGAAACCTTGAAGAGAGAGGTTCACTCCCCCCCACACACACACACCTTCCAAACCTACAGTATGTGTTGTGCTTTTAAGCTCTGCTTGTGTCCTTTAAGTTCAACCAATTTTGACACTGTTAGATGTGCACAACTAGTAACGGACAAGAAGTTTAGGAATATAGTATGTGCATGCACAATTGTGGCCATTTATATGACCAGCAACCGGAAGATGCTGGTTAAACTCAAAACACCTAATCCAGGACTATACAATATTACAATTGTCTGAAATCCATCTGGCCTCCGTGTTTCTAACTAGGGTGTGTAAACATTAGGGTGGGGCTTTTATTGCTTTATTCTGTCCACTGTAACATTCCTCCCAACTTTCACCTCCTATAAATTTTAATTCTGATGAATTGTGAAGAAAAAGCAGCATTGGCTAATCCAGTTCTTGAGATGATGCAGAAGAGATCCATCTGCTGCTTGTCTGCCTCAAGCCTAGATTAAAGGCTCTTGGGTGAAATAGCCCAAATGATTAGTCGATACTTCCAACACCTAAACCACCATGCTGCACTAACTTGCATGAACAAGCTGCTTGGCTCAGCCTTTCTGTCCCCCAACTAATGGAGCCTGAAGACAAAAGAGTCTCCCAGACTTACCTGCAGCTTCTGCTTGGCTTCCCCCCTTTGAGGGATGCAGGAACCCCACAGATCTTCTCCCAGAATGTCCTCTCTCTTATCTACTGTGGTTCCCTGCCTGCTGTCCATCAGCTAAAGAGCTTGAGACACATGACTTGGTGAGAGGAGAGAGAGTGCCCCTATTAGACCGCAGGAGGTGTGGCAGGGAGAACTGTCCATTTGTGTTTGTTATACATGAACACAAAAGCAGTGGCCTCCTCCCATCTCTCCCCAGAATTGGACATCATAACTTTTAGGGCTTTTTTTTTTTAATGATTATTGGCAGTCCACTTCACGTTTTGTAAGAAGAGCCAGCATTTTCTGCTGTTTTTTTTTTAAGGTAGATTCCTTTTGGTAGGCTTCCTTTGCTGAATAAATTAGGTTCAACCTGTTTTACAGAGAGCCAGTTTGATATAGTGGTTAAGGCACAAGGCTGGTCCTGTGCTAGCTATAGAAAACCATTTCTCAAAAACCTTCCCTAGAAAACTGCAGGGTCTTGTCCAGGCAGATGCCAGTCCACACTGAGTCAGAGGCACCAAAATAAATAAAACCTGTTTTGGTGTTTAGAAACTATTCTTTTTGTTAAAGCAAAGTTAAAGCAAAAAAAGTTAAAGGAAAAATTTTTTGGACAAAAATGCATACTTGGTTAGAAAAAAATGTTAGGGAAACACGTAGACTTTAAACCTGAACTTTTTTTATTAGGTATCATTCCAGAAAAAAAATGATAAACAAAGTGTATATTTAATATTACATGTATTAACAGCAGTGAGGATTGTTATTTGCTCAGCACTGGAAAAATGAAGAAACACCACTGGACGAAGAGATAATTAAAAAAACACTGGGCTGTGCTGAAATGGATAGACTTACATTGAGGATCAAAGAAAAAGAGGACACAGAATATTTTCAAACATGGAACTTATTTTATCAATGGCTGGAAAAACAGAGAGTAAGAACTTAACTTGTATGACTAAGCAAAACAAATCAATACATATAAAACATGTTCATTAAGCATTAATGAATTGTAATAATAGAAAATTAATAAAATATTATAAAAAATATTTTGTCCACATCCCACTTTGTTAAGATAGAACACGCCAACCAATAGGTTGGTGTGATGGATGAGGCCTTTAGAAGGACTATCAGTAGAAATGCCATTTCCATCAGGAAAGAGGAGATATTTTAATGGTATTCAATCTATACATCTTCCACAAACAATTTAGCACTCACTGCTCATAGCATGAACATTTTTAATTACAGTACTTTTTAAATTTGTTTTTTTGAAACAAACAAAAATAAAAGATGACTGCTTATGTTGGTCATTTGAATTCTTTTCTGTTACCTGAAATCTATTTCAAGTTTAGAGTTTTATAAAATAAGTGCCCAAGAATTAGAGATCACCTGGCAAAGAATGGTAAATGGGATCCCTTCTCCCACTCCAGTAACTACCTCGATTTAAAATGATTTAAGAGAATTCTGATGTAACAAATGCACCTTTTCAAACCAGCTTTGGTACAGCTTAACTATCTCATCAAACGAGCTCTCTGTAAAACATTATTTTTCTGTTCCAAAATATTTGAAAGCAAATCCCATTTAAAATCCGCCTGCTTATGAAAATTCCCGATAGCCCAGAAATAAGGTAGGATGAAATCTAAAAGGAAACTTGGTGCCAATGAATCCAAAGTAAATGATTGAAGCCAAAGGTCCACAGCGGCTGTCTTCTCCAGTCTGGCACTTGGTAGATGTATGGAAAACTACACCCCCCATAATTCCTAGTGACATTGCTCTAGAGCAGAGGGTACCAAAATCATGGTCCACTATCACTCCTTCTGTGGCCTCCGGAAATGCCTACTTGGGCATGGCCTAATTTTTTGCTTTTGTTTTGAGGGAAGGATTTCAAATGACAAAAGGTAGGCCTTAAAGGCCTAAAAGGCATCCATTTCAGCTCTTAAAAGCCCCACGGCTCCCCCAAATTATGACTTTGTATTCCACCTTGCTCACTTTGGGGACATGACCCTAAGTATGCTTGTAAAGTCAGTCCAGCTCTCCAGTTAATGGATGGCGAACACCCTCTTCCAAACAAACTCAAAATGCGCTTGTCATAGAAAAAGCTGGCCCATATAAATGTGATTAAGCTAATTTGCCTCCATTTCTACAAAGGGAAGATGGAAAATCCTGATGGAAATGTTAAGGAATTTTGTTATTGGTATTGTTCTCATATTTTCAGCATTGTTTCTTGTTGGTGGCTGTAATCTTCAAGCCTAGAAAAAGCGGCTGATTCTTGATACAAATCACCCCTACTAAAATCTACAGAAAGAAATGACTGTGGAAAGCACAAAATGAAAAAAATGCAACATAATTTTTCCAATGTATTTCAGAATCTTATTTTATTCATAAAACATACACATGAAGCCACATCGTCCACATTCTTCATATAGCTTTTCCAATTTAATCTGAATAAGCCACATGCCCAACCTCTCTTCACCCCCCCCCCAAATTGTGTCAGTTTTTTCTTTGGGTGCATTTTCCTTCAAACTCAAGACCTCCACACATCCAGATCCAAAGTTTCCCCCCCCCCCACAAGGAAATCCCAGGACAACAGATCAACTCTTATCTTGACCACTCCTAAAGATGATTTCAATGGAGCCCCTTGAAGATTTCCCTCTAATGCAAGATTTTCTCTCCAACAATTGCTAAATCAAATCTCTCAAAATGAGTGGTTTTGACTGGCCGATTTGATTTCGTTTCAAAAGCAAAAGCTTACGGCAACCCTACAAAATAAGCAACTTCCCGGGAATACAAATCGGTGGCATCTGATCTCTCAGTTGGCTTCAACGTGTTGAGCCAACGTCTTTCGAGCCATCTCCAGTGCACCTTCCTTAGTCCTGTTTCCGCCAATGAAGCCGCTGGAATGTACAAAGATACAGTCCGGGATCCCACTGACCTTGCAGAGTTCTTCTTCACGTAAACCCCTCCATTCCTCTGACAACGACAATCTGCGGGGGAGGGGGGAAAGCAAAATCAGAAGGTAAGCAGGGTGTCAACGCTGCTAACATCGGGATCTTCTTGTTTTGACAACATATGGAGATGCAGCCATTTCCCCTTACTTTATGTTTTACTCTTAGAGTTAGAATTAAACGATGCTGGGGGGGGGGAGTGCATAGGAGTTTAGTTAGACATAACAATACATATAAGGGTGAGAACCAAGGTTTCTGAAATAAGAGATGATAAGACGGCATTTCAAACTAATTGGAGAATGTGATTTATGACGGTTAATTAGAGGAGGGAATTGTGCTTTGATACTATGTGCTCAGAGGAGGGAAATTCAGATTTTGGCTTGGCCTGTGTACTTGCCGATATTATGCTACTTGAATAAAGATTCTTTAAGGAAAACAATGCCTCAAAGTTCTTTGAAGAGTTTCATCTGTTGGAACCATGACACAGGGAGATACAACCCTGTCATGGAATGCACGGATAACCTTGAGGAAAGGGAAGAGGCGATATGCTGCCTAGAAAACCATCAGGAACGAGACAGGAGCCCGCAACTGTTTTGGCAGTCAAAGAAAGATACTTAGGAAGGACCTGGTGAATGGGAAATCTGTGCTCTTTAGATCTGAAAGGTTCTGTTAATGTTGCCTTATGATAAAGCAGGTGTAACTCTACTCATGTTTCCTAGCTGGTTTACCTGGGAAGCTGACAAACTCTGAGGGATGGTCCTCAATGGATCCCTTCAAATTTTCTGGAGTTCACTTTCCAGAGAACCAGCCTGCCTAACTGAAAGCAAGGGACTGGTAGGTACCTAAAGATCTTGAGGAAAAGGCTACAGAGAATATGGGATGAGGCCTCTGCGAAGATACAATGGGGTGTCAAGAAATCTTTATCTTAGAAACACCTAACATACATTTATTTTATCCAATATCCAGAACAAATCATTACCGTATTTTCCGGCGTATAAGATGACTTTCTAGGCATGCAACTCAGCGCCGAAGTCGGGGGTCGTCTTATACACCAGAAAATACGGTATTCCTCCCCCCCCCATACCTTCTACTTGCTTTTAAGAGATTTTACTCTTAATTCTGAATAATTGGATTTAATTTAGTTTAAGCAGAGGAAGGCAATAACCTAAGATCTGAAGCTCTCCGAGAGTGTGGAATTATACTTGCTGTTACTGGACTATATTTCTCTAAAAGGAAGATGCGGAACTTAAGAGGATACTCATGGTTTGTTAATGGGAAGAACAGATAAAAATGGATGTGTACCGTCTGCTACATACTCAATGAACCTGAGGCAACTTTTCTATGGTATTGGGGAAAAAAATATTAATCTTTCTTTCAAGGTAGGTCAAAAGATGTTGAGGAGCCACGCTCACCGGTTCTGAAAGGTTCGCAACCCTACAGGAACACATTGTACCCGCCACTGGCCACTCAGATCTGTATATAAGACGAATTTCAGTGGCTTCTTCACATCCATCGTTTGTTCCAGCTGTAAAAGATGCTCTTTCCATGGACAGCCTCCTTGTGCCAGGACCAGAATTTCACCACTAGGATCCACCTGCCATAGAAAGAGAGGCACACCATTCAGAAGTACTAGTTTTACCAGCCCAATGACTGAGAGTACAAAGTGCTATTAATACACTAGAGCAGTGGTTCTCAACCTTTTTAATGCCGCGACCCCAACTGGTCATAAGTTGAGGACTACTCAACCAGTTGTAAGATGAGGACTACTCAACTGGTGCAGCACCATTTGCAGAATGGGACTTTTGGCGGGCTCAGGAGGGCAGAGACAGCCTGGACAATTTCTATTGGCTTTTGAAAGCCAATAGAATTAGACTCTATTCAAGAGAGTCTATTCTATTGGCTTTCAAAAGCCAATAGAATAAAAGGGAGTAGCACAGCTAAGGAAAAGGGGAAAAAAATGGCGGACTGCGTTGTTTGGCGATCCCCGTGAAATGGTCGTTCGACCCCAAATGGGGTCCCGACCCACAGGTTGAGAACCACTGCACTAGAGGCATTTATTGCTACATTAGTGCAAGTCATAAGGTGTCTTATT